CATCATCATCATCGGCACCATCGCCATCATCAGCGCCATCAGCATCATCAGCATCATCATCATCACCATCGGCATCAGCATCATCATCAGCACCATTGGCACCATGACCATCGGCATCATCAGCATCGCCATTGGCATCATCAGCATCGCCATTGGCATCAGCACCATCAGCAGCAGCAGCACCATCAGCATCATCAGCATCATCATCAGCACCATCAGCATCATCACCATCGGCATCATCAGCACCATCGGCATCATCATCATCACCATCGGCATCACCATCAGCATCATCACCATCAGCACCATCATTATCATCAGCACCATCAGCATCATCAGCGTCATCACCATCGGCATCAGCATCATCATCAGCATCATCAGCATCATCATCAGCATCATCAGCACCATCATCATCATCAGCACCATCACCATCAGCATCACCATCACCATTGGCATCATCAGCATCATCGCCACCACCATCGGCATCATCATCATCATCATCGGCACCATCGCCATCACCAGCGCCATCAGCACCATCAGCATCATCAGCAGCATCATCATCATCATCACCATCGGCATCAGCATCATCATCAGCACCATCGGCACCATCACCATCGGCATCATCAGCATCGCCATCGGCATCAGCACCATCATCAGCAGCGTCATCGGCACCATCGGCATCATCATCATCACCATCATCATCACCATCGGCATCATCATCATCGGCACCATCGCCATCATCAGCGCCATCAGCATCATCAGCATCATCATCATCACCATCGGCATCAGCATCATCATCAGCACCATCGGCATCAGCATCATCATCATCACCATTGGCACCATGACCATCGGCATCATCAGCATCGCCATTGGCATCATCAGCATCGCCATTGGCATCAGCACCATCAGCAGCAGCAGCACCATCAGCATCATCAGCATCATCATCAGCACCATCGGCATCATCATCGGCATCATCATCAGCATCACCACCATCGGCACCATCACCATCGGCACCACCACCATTGGCATCATCATCACCATCAGCATCATCGGCATCAGCATCATCATCATCACCATTGGCACCATCATCACCATCACCATTGGCATCATCATCGGCATCATCATCATCACCATAACCATCGGCCTCATCACCACGAGCACCATCATCACCATTGGCACCATCATTACCATCACCATCGGCACCGCCATCAGCATCGGCATCAGCACCATCGGCATCATCATCACCATCACCATTGGCATCACCATCATCATCAGCATCGCCATCGGCATCAGCAGCAGCAGCATCGCCATCAGCATCATCAGCGCCATCGCCATTGGCATCATCATCACCATCACCATCGGCATCACCACCATCGGCAGCATCAGCACCATCATCATCAGCATCATCAGCACCATCGGCATCATCATCACCATCACCACCACCACCATCAGGATCATCATCACCACCACCATCAGCACCACCACCACCATCACAACAACCCCCAGCACTGTGATCACCATCACACTCATCACCACCACCATCAGCACCACCATCACAACCGCCGTCACCATCACAACAACCCCCAGCACAATGATCACTATCACAACCACCACCACCACCATCACAACCACCACCACCACCATCACAACCACCATCACAACAACCCCCAGCACCACAACAACCTCCAGCACCATGATCACTATCACACCCACCACCACCATCACCACCAACACCACCGTCACAACAACCCCCAGCACCATGATCACTATGACACCCACCACCACCATCAGCACCGCAACCCCCAGCACCGCGACAACACCCAGCACCATGATCACTATCACACCCACCACCACAACCACCATCACAACCACCACCGTCACCACAACAACCCCCAGCACCATGGTCACTATCACACCCACCACTATCACCACCATCAGCACCACAACCACCACCACAACAACCGCCAGCACTGTGGTCGTTATCATCCACCACCATCACCACCATCACCATGACAACAACCCCCAGCACCATGGTCACTATCACACCCATCACCAGCACCACCACCAGCACCACAACAACCGGCAGTACAACCATCATCTGACTGTCACCACCAGCGCCATGATCGTTATCACACCCACCACCACAATCGCCACCCCCAGCACCATGATCACCGTCACACCCATTATCACAACCACCGTCACCGTCACCCCGTCCCCGCGTGTCACCTGTGCGGGCAGCCCCGCGCGGGGGGGGCTCCCCAGGATCCCCGCCGGGTTCTGCTGAGGTAGCTGGAAGAGGTTGGCCGCCGGCAACAGCCCTGCGGGGTGACAACACCCGCGGTGA